TACGTCACGTACCGACGAGACCGCCCGGGACATAAAAAGGGAGGGGGCTTGTTGATATTGGTGAAGTCCTCCATCTGCTCTCGGCAGATCGAGGAGCTCGACTTCGGAGCGGACGGAATGATGGAATGTCTTGGTGTCGAACTCGACCGGGTGAACCTGCCGAAGCTTAAACTATACAACGTGTACAGACCACCGGAAGAAGGTGCATCGCTAAACATGGGGCCTCTTGTAGGGGACGAACATGTGGTGATCAGTGGGGATCTGAACACAAGGCACCCGTCATGGTGCCCATCCGGCAAGTCAAACGCTGCCGGAGTGACTCTACACGAATGGTTGACCCTGAGACAGACGACGGTCTGGAACGACCCAGGAACACCGACCCGGGACGAGTCCAAAACGTCGCCAGACGTCACGATCTCGGCCGCACACCCGCACGCTGTATGCAACTGGCGGACGATCGAGTCTTGGGGGTCGGACCACCGCACTCTCATCTTCGAAGTGCCCCGCGGATACGAGCACAAGAGGGAACAGGTCCGACCGCGCTACGCCTGGAGCCGTGCCGACTGGAAGGAGATGTCCAAATACCTCGAAAAAGACAACACCTGGCCCCAGACCGAGTACGAACAATACAAGGAAAGCCCGCAGCGCCTCGCCGACGCCATATCTAACCGGATGAAAGGGGCCATCAGTCGGTACGTCCCGAAGGCGTCGGGCAACAAACCACCGAAGCCGTGGTGGACAAAAACGCTGACTCCTCTCTCACGCCGGAAAGACATTGCATTCAAACGGATGCAAAAGGAAGACAACGAAGAAACGGGGAAGGCGTACACGGAGGCGAAACAGGCGTTCACGAAAGCCGCGACAGAGGCGAAGGCGGACTACTGGGACCGACTGGTCAGCACGATCGACCACAGGACGGATCTAGGCCTCATGTTCCGGCTAGTGCGGCAGCTGGATGGGAAGAAATCGAAACACACGCTCCCCCCATTGAAGCATGAGGGAGTCGCCATCACGGACTCGAAAGAGAAGGCGAACGTTCTCGTGAGACACCTTGCGACCGTCTGCAAGAAATCGGGACGCAGCGTGACAGGCCCGGACTTGACCCAGGGAGCGAATAGGTCCGCGGAAACCACCGATGGCGCACAGCTGGGCGCGCAGTCCGAAGCCGATACGCCGATCACCTTGCAGGAGGTGAACAGAGCCATCGAGAAGCTGAAGAAAAAGACGAGCCTGGACCCGGAGGGGCTGTGCCACATGGCCTACAAACACCTGGGCGAAGGGATGCGGCTCCGCGTACTAGACCTATGCAACGCATCTTGGAACAACGCAAGTGTTCCCTCCCAATGGCGACAGGCACACGTGACACCGCTCCCGAAGCCGGGCAAAGACCGCTCGGAGCCATCGGGCTACCGGCCGATTTCGCTCACGAGCATTGCATCGAAGATAATGGAGACCATTATCAAGGACCGCCTCACATTCCTCATCGAAGGAGACTCCTCGGTCCGCGCGTTCACGCCGAACCAGGGGGGCTTCCGGATAGGGAGAGGCACGGAGGAGCAGCTGTACACCGTAACGGCGGCAATCGACCGGAACCGAAGGAAAGGCCGGTACACGTGCCTACTCGTCTTCGACCTGGCGCGCGCTTTCGACACAGTCGACCACGCGCGCCTGAAGAAACGAATGGTAGAGCGGGGCCTCCCGCTGAAGCTCATTCGATGGGTGGAGTCCTTCCTCAAGGGCAGAAACGCGATCTTCCGAGTGGACGGTGAGTACGGCGCCTCGGCGGAACTTGAGGGCGGTGTTCCGCAAGGGTCTGTACTAGGACCAATACTGTTCCTGCTGTACATCGACGACCTCGGGGACGACCTGGCGAAGCTGAAGGACTCAACGGCCTCGCTCTTCGCCGACGACGTAGGCGTAGTAGCGACGGGCAAAACGATGGCGGAGATGGCGAAGAACGTGCGTCTGATAATACAGGCGATGGAAAAGTGGTCGGACGAGGCGCTGATGCAGCTATCGCACGCAAAGACGGAGGCGATACTGTTCAAGCGCCCCGGAAACCCTGACGCGTCGCCGCCGACGATAGAGTTCCCGGCAACCCGAGCGAACGTGGCGATCCGCGCGGACGCGTACAAAAGGAGAACGAGGAAGCACGGTCGCACGGCTCGTCGGCTGTTTGCACCACAGAGCCAACACCACGAAAAGCGAGTGACCGGACTGAACGGAAAGGCGGCTCGCACCCTGCAAGAGAGAACAATTGCGGAGGAGAGCATCGGAGAGGGCTCCGACCGGCTGACGATCTCCCTGGTGAGGGAACTCGAATGGAAGAAGACCGTCACCCTACTGGGTCTAACCTTCGACGAGGAACTGACATTCGACCAGCATGTCAGCCGAGTGACGGCGGGCGCGGCCAAACACGCGTGCGTTCTCAGGCTTGTATCCGGTGCGGCATGGGGTCATCGAACGAAGACGCTCCGCTCGCTATACTACACCTACGTACTCCCGAAGATGACGTACGCCCTGTCGGTATACGGCGCCTTTGCCAGACCGACGACCATGGCGAAGCTGGAGAGCCAGCACAAGGCCGGGCTTTGCGCCGTCACGGGATGCAGGCGCTCGGCATCCGTGGAGGCCGTTTCGATTGAGTCGCGGGTGCAGCCAATCTCGGTCTATGCCGATCTTCGACTCGCAACACTGTGCGAGAAGCTGGCGACCTACCCGCAGTGGCGTGACACCCTGGTCCCCACAAACAAGCACGACACGATCGCCGTCAAATACGGACTCCTGAAGAGGCGCGCGCGGACGGAAGACGTCGACAGGCAGACCCGCAAGGCGAACCCGTTCGCGCCGTGGGAGCCACGGTGCCCCAAAGTGCACATCTCGGCAACACTGAGGAAGAAGTCGGAAGACGTGGAGGCGAACAGAAGGGTAGTGGAACGTGTGTTAGCCGCCCTGCCGACGCCGCTCTTGGTAACCTGGACCGACGGCTCTGTTGTTGAGGAAACCACAATGGAACCGGCGCTAACAGTCCTCAACGGCACAACGGAACCGACACCCACGGAGACGAAATGGGGAGGAGCCGGGTTTGCCATCGAATCCGGAGAGAATTGGTCGATACGGAGAAGCGCGCAAGACGATCTTCCCTGGTGGGCGACCAACAGCGGTCCGGCCGGCAAGTGGGCGACAAGCTACCGGGCGGAACAGGTGGCGATGCAGAGAGCCCTGCGCGTCCTCGTGGGCAGTCTGAGCAGGAGGAACGACAAAACCCTGTGGATACTGACTGACTCGAGCTCGCTCCTCCAGGACCTCGACCATGGACCACATCGCCAAGTCGACCCAGCCAACATCGAGATCTGGCAGCTGCTGGGCAAGCTCGCCGATCGTGGGTACACCATCCACCTCCAGTTCGTCTACAGCCACTGTGGACTGGCCGGGAACGACGAAGCGGATACCCGGGCGAAGACCGGCGCCAGCTCGCCAGGAGAAAGGGGACCCCGTCCCCCGCTCACGCGATCGACGGCGGCGGCCAGGCACAAGAGCTATGTGCAGAAGAGGTGGTCGGCAGGCGTGCTGAAGGCCCACCCGGAGTTGGGCTCCCACTACGACGGGAAACTCGCACACGCGCAGATCGTCAACGGGAGGAAACTCCCGAAAATCGATCACCTCACGCGACGGGCCGAGCGTGAGATCAGGCAGATCCGCACGGGCCAGCACCGCCTCCTTCGCAATTGGTGCCGGGAGGACTACGACGCGTTAGCGAAGTCCGAACGGAGCTCGAATCGTCCCTGCCCGCATTGCGGAGAGGTAGCCGAGTGCCCGGTCTCGCACCTTTTCTTGGACTGCGGCCATGAGGGGACGCAAGGGAAGCGTGACCTGATGTGGGAAGTGGCCTCCCCGTTACGGCGGGAGGGTGGCCAACCGGTGTGGATACCGAGACACGAACAGCTGTGGAGATTGCTGTTCGAACACCCGGAGACGGCACTCGAGTACCTGCAAGGGACCGGACTGCTGGAGGAGTACCGGATACTCGTGCCGACCACACCCGACGAACAGCCCACCGAATCCCGCCCATCCGCCACGAGAACCGCGACACAAACACGCGAACTCGAGGCCAGCGGATTTGCACGCCCGTAATCGGACTCGGCCCCGACTCAACCACCGCATACCGGGCCCCGCCTCGTCCGTCGGAGGGACAACCCCCCCGGCCCACGAGAGCGCGTCCGAGGAACAGTCACGACCGTGACCGCGAGACGGCCGACCCCCGACGTCGAAGCAACCTCGAAGAGCGACGAAACGAAGGCAAAGCGAAGCGAAGTACAAATGGAGAACGAGAGTAGGAAGCTAGAGAATTCTACTCCGGCACCTTGCACTTGACACTTTGAACCAAGAAAGTAGAAAGAGGAGCAGAGGCATTACTAGCGAAAAGCGAATTGATTTGCCCAGTACGTATAGGTGCCTCAAGCATCGCAAGCAAAACTGAGGTCCGATGCTCACCCGAGAAGGTACGGCTCGGAGGAGACAGCATTGAAACATGAAAAGCTGCGCGCCCTGACCACGCCCTCGGACTTGGAGCAGGACCTCAAACTTTTACGTGAACCGAAAACCGTTAACAGAAAGAGAACCAATTTACGTAAACCGAAAACCATTACCAGAAAGCGAACCCAATAACGAGAACCAAGAACCGTAGCCAGAAGGAAAAACAATTTACGTGAAACAAAAAACCGATAAACGAACAAGTAGTAGTCATCACTCCATCACAAACAACACAACGGAGTAAATGGTGGCACAAAGAACCACTGTACGCTTGCCCGTTAGAGACCGTCTTGCCTCGTCTTGCCCGGGCTTCGTTCCGCCCTACAGAACAGAACAGAACAGAGCCCCGTTTCCATTTTTCTTTCAGTATCAGTTCAGTTTCTAACCCGACAGTAAACCCGGCCCAGTGAAGCCGTTGCCTACGGGCGTCGACATGTAAAAAAAAAAAAAAAAAGAGCCCTTTTCGTGGCAGGATGGCCGAGTGGTCTAAGGCGTTGCGTTTAGGCCGCAATATCTTCGGATGCGTGGGTTCAAACCCCACTCCTGTCATTTTCCGAGTCTACTGGGCCAGTGTGAGAGTGGGGCTAATTCCCATTCTCGAACACAGTTTAACTTTTTGCCCATTCTCGAACACTCGCTAACTTTTGCCCATTCTCGAACACTTTTTAACTTTTTGCCCATTCTCGAACAGTCGCCTAACTTTTTGCCCATTCTCGAACATTGAAAATTGCCCAGGGGATTCGAACTCACCACCCATACATCCAAAAAATCCCAGCCATTTTTGGGTTCGCCATTTCCGATTCCGATTTCCGTCGGATCCGTTCCTCGAACAAGGTGCCAGCATTGTGGTTGGCTGCTGCGTCCCGGCTCGGTATCCTGGTTGCGCACTGGGTCACTGACACCGCAGACTACGGGTAAACGGGTTTCTAAAGGTATTGTGCACACAGATTCGTGCATAATTCAAGTATGCGCGAGTGACCTACTACAGAATCAGAGCCACTGTTTTACCACGAGTAGTAACCAGCGACGGGCGCGACGTCACGAATGACTCCAGAGGAGGAGCGGGGAGACTCAGAGCGGTAAGTAACGCCGCAGCCAATCAAGATTTGAGTGATGCTACTCTTACAGTAGAAGCTGCAAAGAAAAAGTGCCAGTCGTCTGAAAATAATCAGGAGCTGGCGGATGGTGACTGGATCTTGTCCTCCCTGCCGGGCCAATTCCCATTCCAGCACCTTTTTGAAATTTTTGCCCATTCCAGCACTCTCGCAAACTTTTTGCCCATTCCAGCACCGTTTCCAAACTTTTTGCCCATTCCAGCACTATCGCAAACTTTTTGCCCATTCCAGCACCTTTTCCAAACTTTTTGCCCATTCCAGCACCTTTTCCAAGCTTTTTGCCCATTCCAGCACTATCTCCAAACTTTTTGCCCATTTCAGCACTATTTCCAAACTTTTTGCCCATTCCAGCACTATTTTCGAACTTTTTGCCCATTCCAGCACTTTATCCAAACTGTTTGCCCACTCCAGGCTGGAGCAGATCCAGCACTCGCAGTGACTCGTTTTGCCCATCATTGTGTGCCTATCACAGTACGTACATTCTGAAGTCGTTGCCGTCATGAATCCATGCCTTACTGGGTCACAGTGAGCGCACCGGACAGTCAGTCCGTTGCGGTGCGACTGATACACGGGTTTTCCTGCGGTAGCAGCATCTAATTTTACCGCAGCACAAGCAGCCTCCGTACAAGAAAACTCTGATCCCTCTTCTACTGTCATGGGATCGACTCTTTCCCCCAGAAATGGTTCCAAATCTGTGACACTTTTCGTGGAATGAGTGATAAATAGCTAAAAAGAGCTACATGTAGCTGGCCAAATAGCTAGCTAAGTCTCGCACTGTCTTTTCGGCATTTTTGCCCCCCTACCCCAGGGTTTTCACCAAAAAAAACTTTTCGAAATCTCAGCCATTCTGAGCCATCGAGCCACCAGTGGCTGCCACTGGCTGCAGTGGCTGTCCCCCACACTGCGTGACACGTTTGTCAAGTTGTCAGTGACTGTTGTGAAACCTTTGTAGGCTATTACGAGCCACTGCGCAAGCGTACTAAGTAGCGTGATGAACCCGGTTTTGTCATCAGTGGTCGGCGGGTCGCGAAGGGCGACGCCCAGTGCTGTGGCGTCGCCATCTCGAATCTACTGCTGCGGCCTGCCGGTCGTAGAAGATTCCGCAAAATCAGTGGAGAAGTAGACTCCTACTGTAGAGTGATTTTGGAACGACCCGTAGTGTAGGTGGCGCACGTCGGCGGAGCGTTTGTAGGTGGCGCTTTGGTGGGCGCCCTTGGACGAAATCGGCTCGTGCAGCTTGGCTACGTGTTGTCCGGACTGTCTCCGTCTTGGCCGCATGACAAGGCGACTTCTGTAGAAGAAAGAAGAGAAGAAAAAGGCCGCTCCTGGTCCAGGAACGTGACGGTCAACCACAGCTTGCAAAGCTTGAGTCGGAGGCAGCACAGTGCCACAACCCCGTCCGCTCTGCCCTGCGGCTGACCGTCTCGACGAGCTTGCGTTCAGCCGCGAATCAGCGCGAGCGCCAAGAGGTGCGCCAAGCCTTGATGCTTTAGTCTGGGAAATCGGGAGCCACTTGACCCGTAGGCCCGTGGCTGCAGTACCGCCGAACACGTGAAGCTTGGCTCCCGTGTATTTAGCCCCCCCCTGCAGATGGTAAAACCCGAAGGTATGGAAATTGCAGTGTTGATTTTGCCATAATATTGGTAAAGGGTGGTAATACTAATAGTGCTTGAATGGGCAAAAAGTTTGGAAATAGTGCTGGAATGGGCAAAAAGTTTGGAAATAGTGCTGGAATGGGCAAAAAGTTTGGGCGAGTGCTGGAATGGGCAAAAGTTTGGGCAGAGTGCTGGAATGGGCAAAAAGTTTGCGATAGTGCTGGAATGGGCATAAAGTTTGGAAATAGTGCTGGAATGGGCAAAAAGTTTGAAAATGGTGCTGGAATGGTAATTGGCCCCCTCCCTGCCGCAGGCTGGCAGGCTGAGAGAGAGACTGGAATTGCCGGCGAGCCGCCAGGGCGCATGGCAGGAGCCATTTCTCCTGCCATCATGCAGCCATGTGCCAAGTGTAACCGCCACTTCAACTCTGAAAAAAAATTGACCAAAAAAATTGGACCCCGAATTTTTGACCAAAAAATTTGGGAAACTTACAAATATATGCGCGATAAACTGCCGAAAAAACTGCGCGCATACGAAACGTATGCGCGAAAAACTGTTTTTTTTACAAATATATGCGCGAAAAAACTAAAATTGACAAATATATGCGCGGTGCATATGTTTGTCAGCTTTAGTTTTTTCGCGCATATATTTAGCGTTATTTGTGGATTAGAAGGTCGGTATTTTAAAGTCTCCGGTTGACCGTAGAGGCTTGGGTATGGCGGGGGGTTGAGAAAAGTAAAAGAGTGCGACTCGTTTCGGGTGTTGTGTCACTCCGTTGTGAAACCTTGTGAAGTCCCCTAACGCGTTTAGAGGGTGCTTGGGTTTGGGTAGGGTGTGGTCGTTCTGCTGCGGCGTGAAAAGCCAGGAAGTTTCGACGCTAATCTTCGACTCTTGATTAAGTTCACCGGGTTGCGTGCTCGTCAGGAAGATCCCGGTGCCTGGCTTTTCTTCTGGGTGGTTTCGTGTTGATCGGCGGCTGTGTGTTACGAGGCACGGATTAGGGGATGAAAAAAGGAAAAAGAAATGGGGGAGAAAAAGAAGGGGGGGAGAGGGGGAGAGGGGAAGTTGGGGTTTTGAGGGTTGTCCTCGGGGTACGGGGGGGGGTGGTTGGAGGGTTTGAGTGACAGAGGTTACGCTTGCGCTGTTCGCATGAAGGCTCGTTGGCTCGAAGAAGTGGAAGTAGCGTTGGTTATTGTTCGATGTTATTCTTACAGTCGTAAGATGTGATAAAAAAATTTTTTTTAAAAAAACCTCATTTGACTGTTTGTTGTCCTCCACAGTCGGGGTTCTCTAGCTGCACGAGGCAGCCGTGGATGATGAAATTAAGTTCCTCGCTTACTTTGCTTATTCTTTTTCGTAGCCTTGAGCGTGTGCGATACCGCTGGGTTTCTCTTGCATTTTGAGATATGGTGGCGTAGACTTTTGAAGCGCGCTTTCCCTGCGGTCCGTCCGTCGTTGTTGCAGTATGGGCATTTGCGTTTTCCGAGGGCTTTCTGTGCCGCCTTTCGTACTGGGCTTGTTGCTAGAGTCATCTCTTTGCAGTGAAGCATGTGTGTACGGAGGCCTTTGGCGCCTTTGAACTTGTTGCCTGCGTCCGTGGTAGTTGCTTTGCAGGCTGGGCATGCCCAAATCAGCGTTCCTTCATGCTGTGTTGTTTCTTCGGATGAGGTCTCGTCGTCTGAGGTAGGGGTGTCCCCTCGCAATTCTTCGAGCAGTTCGAGTGTTTGTGTAGGGTCTGTGTCGGTGGTGTCTTCTTTCGTGTACAGGAACATGTACGTGGCGTTGTCTGTGTACGTAGGTTCCCGGGAGTGTGAGGTGGTTTCGTTGTTGTAATGTGTCCAGTTTTGGTCTGTGAAAGGGGTGCGGTTACGTTTGTGGATGGTGTAGTGGCCGGCGTTCTCTCTTCCTGTGTGTGTTATAACGGCTTGGAGTTCGTATTTGTGTTCGTGGTCCGGAATGTTGAGGGTGGGATCAGCTGCCACCGGGGTTCGATTTTCGTTTGCGAACTCGTTCCGTCTAAGACACAGTAGTAATGTGTCTTGTGCTGCTCGGATACTGGTTTGCGTTTCTGCTGTCTTTGTCTTTTTGCACTTGTCACATCTGTAATCTTTGGGGGTGCTTTTCTTGCAGAAACTGTCCAGACATCCTTGAGCGGTGCTGGCCTGTATTGCGAGGATTGTCATGCTGTAGGGTTGATCTTCTGTTTTGATGTAGCCGCAGTTGTTGCAATGGATTGTTGTCGTCTGTAGGTGTAATAATTCGTTGAAGGCGTCGCTGCAGTTTGGTTGGCACGTGCGGTGTTCTTCGTTTTCGTTCGCTATCGCAGCGAGTAGTTGAAGTAAGGCTTCTTCTAGGTCGTGTTGTTCTCCGTCGCCGAGGTGTGTGCCCATGTGCTCGAAGAGCCTTTGGACGACGTTTTGGGTTTTCCTGCCGCTTATCCATTCGTTCACGTCTTGTGTGCATGGGCCTGTTTGGTGTTGTGGACAGTCGTTGTACTTGCGTATTTGATTTGACAAGTGTGTCGCTGCTATGAGGTTTAGCGACGCTTGCAGGAAGCAAGAGTTTCTTGTCGTGTATTTGTGAAGTTGCTGTGGGTGTTTCCGCTTCGTTTTGGCTGCTACTGCTGCGGCGATGGTGATGGTTGCAACGAGGCTGGCTACTCGTTCCGTGACGGTTAATTCGGGTGTGGGTTGTGATGGAGAGTCAACGGAGGATGGTGATTCGCTCGGTAAGTGGGCCGGGAAGAAGTTGGTTGGCCTGTGTTTGCCGGCGAACTCCGGTTCGTTGATGCGTGGTTGGCGTTTTTTGTGCCGGGCTACGCAGAATCCAAGGAACGGCT